ATTAATTATTTACTATTAAATTTACAGAATCACAGAATATTCTGAGTTGGAATTGACAAGAATGGGGGGCATGATGTCTCTTCTAAAGGAAATGTGACTGAGTCATTTATTTTTTTTGTTCTCACTCTCTGTTCTAGTTATGCCACAGATGGTAGAAAAATAGAAGTCAAACCAATTTAATACAGACATTCAGTTCAAAATGGCATGTATTTTAGTTCTCCCTGTATAATTATGAGGAATAGGTGGAAACATATTGTTACTGCTTTAGACAAACAAATCAAACAACATAACTCCCTCTAAAATCACCTTGAAAGTCCAATTCCTCCCACATACTCCCTCATAAACCAGTGTAGTGGAGTTACTCTGATAAAACTCAAGCAGCTGATGCAATGACTTCAATAGCAATGAAAATGCCTTTCCATGTGACTGAGTGGGACTAGAGGTGACTGGAAATAAAGTTGTTTAACAGAACCTTCATAAACTTTCAAAAAGTCCAACAGAAACCTGACTTCTATGCTATCCCTAACCATTAGAGATTTTCAAATAATTCAAGACAGTGCTCTAGACTCTGCTAGTATAGTGAAATAGATCTTACTTTTATTACTGCCCATCAGAAATCACAATCACAACTCCAGCAGAACCCGCTTCTGTCTTCTGGGGGAAGTTTTAGCAAATGGTTCTGTCATAGCTAAGAGAAATCAACTCAATATACTGCTTGCTCTTAGAGGATCAGACTCTTCTCATTCCCTTGACAAGTCAGGGACAAGGACGTTTTGGCTCATACACCTAAAATCACACAAATCTTTATTTCACCAATTCCAAGCAAATGACTCCATAACCTCTGCCCACAGAGACGTGTGTGTGTATCTGCAAACAGTTTGTGGTCAGGTTAAAGAGCTAAATGCCTGAGGAAGTCAGGAATATGCAAAGTTGATGAGTTAGAATATAATCCCCTTGTGAAAAAAAATACAGGAATATGGGGATGATCACATATCTTCCTCATCTCTTGGTACAATAATTTCCCCCAGTAGGTTATCAACCAAACAGTGATGATCTGGCACTCCTCTTCTTGTCTGAAGGTTGATTATTTTCACAATAGTTGCCTGCCTTGATGACTACCCTGCAAATGACATGGAGGTGGGCATGGTTTGGGATGTGCGAAGGACAGAGTCCTTTTCTAAGCAGCTCCCGGTGACAGGACATTTTACCTGCCACCTCTGCCTTCCCACCCCTGAGAGCAGCTTTTGTTGCTCAGCTGAAGATAAAATATCTGCTTAGAGAAGGAGGTATTTCATTTAACATGGTGTGCCCATTGAAATCAACTCTGTTTTTCAATAGATTCCACAGGTTAGTAGTTTTAATCCATCTTAAATTCATATTTTGGCAATTAACTCAAACTGCACAGATAAAAATTACTTGAAATGCCGTCTCCTGCTTCCTTTGGGCATTATCTTTCTGTTAAATGCTAAGGATAATTGTAACAGATATATACAGATGAATGCTAAAGCAGAAGCAAACCATCTTTATACTTCAAATAAATAAAAACAGATTATTGAAAAAACACTAACATATCTTTAAAATCTCCACTGACTTTTTCAGAACCCCTAAACTCTGTGAATATACAAAATATCTACTACCATATTTTCTAGATATTTTACCAGATCTATTAACATTTTCAGACAGCAGAAAATTAATGCATTGACATTAGAATCTATGTTGTAAACCTGTAATTAAGGAGATCTTCATTAGCTGAAAGCAAAAGTGAAACCTTCCAGTTAAGGTCGGGGTAGCAGACTTCCTCTTTGGCTATGCTTAAAAAAATCTCAGGCAATACTTTTGGAGATGAAATTTCATTACCTTTGAAACAGCTTAACCTGCATTAAAAAAAATTAGTATCACTCTGAAGAATTATATTTTGAATCCCTTGAAGTAAATAATAATTTCACTCCCTTAAGCATATACAAACCTAGGAGATAAGTTTTACCACAAAGCAGGAAATATTTATAGGAACCTCTTTGCAAAATCCTAGTACTCAACTACTATGTTGGTCCCTGTGATGCATGCCCACAGCTAATCTAATGGCATTGCCATCAAATATTTTTCAGACTAAAATGAAATCTCCAATAAGATGAATAGACCTGTGTGTCTTCCAATATTTTATCAGAAGATGGACTTGATGCTCTGACAATTCAAGATGCCATTAGTTTTGATATGATCAGCAAAGACAGGGGAAGTTGTATTATTCTCATTCTAATACACGCCTTGTAGCATAATGATCTATTGCTAAAAGAGGAAATCTCTTCTTTCAGAGGAGCAAGCTTTACCAGCCACCAAAGACTTGCAGGCTATCAGCTGCCTAATCCAAAATTGGGATCCTTTCAAATAATCCTCAGTCTGTCAAGCACAACCCTTTAACAGATTCTATTAAAAAAAAACCCACAGCCCTATCCAAATAAACCCCTCACCCCAGAATATCCATGTTTCTGGAAATAGATATTTTGTTTCATTAGCGTTGGAAGGATCCTTGTTTTCAGCGTTTATTACGTGAACAAAGGCTTGCTTCCCTTAAAACTCGAACTACATAAGAGTAGGGACAGGATTTCCCAAATGCTGAGAAAGGATGGGAGTGGAAGTGGATCTTTTCCAGTGCCAGGATTAGGATGCCAAGCATGGGGAATTTCTCCAGATATTCATCTTAATTTTTAAAAAACTTGCAGACTGTTGCTTCACTTCATCAGCAGCAGGATGACCCCAAATAACTTTTCAGCCCCTTGACCTTTTCTACAAAACCTGCCAGCTTTCTTCTCAGAATTAGAGCAGAGAAAGAAAGGATAATAATAAAAAAATAATAAAATTAAGCAGTTTCTTCTTAAATTACTGAAGTTACTAAAAATTGGAGCAAGAAAATTAAAGTATAATGGTACATTCAGTGTAATCAAATGCTTATTCTCCATGAATATGAAATTGTGATGCTAATTCTGAGTCAAACTTGTTTAGATTTAGAGCAAAGTCACTGAGGATCAAGAAATTCTCTGAAATTCATTGCATGTAACTGAATGCAGAATCTGACCCTGTGTCACCATTTGTAAATCAGGTATTTGCAAAATTTGATGGGAAAACTAAAGTCAAGATTTGAACTCTATCTTCCTGAAGTGAGAGTATGGAAGTACCTTCCTAAAAATGAAAAATGCAGAAAATGGTCAGTATAATAGACACATAGGACTTCATAGCTTAAAAGTGCTCTCCAAATATTAGCTAAATCCTTACTATAAACCTGTGAGGCAGATAAGATGGAAGCACTTATGCTAAAAATAAATAAAACCTAGAACTGTCTCATATAACTGTAAGATTTTATTAAAAATAAACAGGGCTGGTTGGTATCCTTAACCTCAAGGTCACAAAACAAACTACTAGGCACTGGAGGATAGCAGCAGAAGCCAGTGCTCCAAAATCACTGTGTCTAATTAAGGATTCCAAAGAATCTCTGCTTTATGCTCTCTCCTGTCTTGAAGCATTCGCTGCGAGAACATTCAAATGCCACCAGGAGACTGACATGCTACTTGTTAGGTCAACAGTCCCATTGAGACTTCTTCTCATCAGCTTCATCGGATTCTGAGCCAACCATATATGCTGGGCAAATAATGCTCCACTAGGGCAAATAACACTGGGCAGGGCTCTCCTGTTCGAAAGGGAGAAAACCGCGGGGGGAAAAAACAGTTTGGAAATCAGAAGAGTGTGTCGTGTGTGCACGTGCTAAATAATTCAGCTTTAAACTGTTCTGAACTTCTGACCCTCACACTCCGCTGTGATGTACAGGACTGGAGGTTTCAATGTTAGTCCACGGTATGTGAAAGACAAAAATGTATGAAGCCTGCCTGTTCCAGCGTGAGGCCATATTCAGCTAAAAGCATTCTAATATTAATGATGATGGCTGGGTTTAGAACTGTTTTAGTCCACTGCAATAATTTTCATTTGTTTACGAGGTTGGGAAGAGAGAAAACGAAATTGCTCTGTTAGTGCTGCACCCTGCTTCCTCCAGGCATCGGGCAGCATGTGTCCCTTTTCCAATAAAAACATAGATTTCCCTGTTTTTGTGGGTTGTGTGCTTTCCTCCCTTCCCTTTGCTGGCATTTGGCACAACTGCCTTTCTTCTAACACGTTAGAGCATAGATGCATTTTTTTTAACCAGCCAAGTAAGGAGAAAAGAATTTGATTAAGCTTATTTTTATGCTTACAGGAAATATAAAAGACAAAGTGTTCTATGTTTAAAACTACAGCATATGCAGCTTCTGTGCACATCAGAGAGATCCCTACAAAGCAGCACATGCAGATACAAGATTATACAGAAGAGAGACAGATGCAGGTTTCCGCGCGGAAAATCTCTTGTGACTCCAAACGCGATGGGTATAAAAAAAAAAAAAAAAAAAAAAAAAAAAAAAAAATAGCGTTGTTGGGCAAGAATGGTATCAACGTGCTCCAACACTCCTGTGAACTTGGAGAGGCCCGGGACCAGGACGCCGGGGAGCGGTGATTTCCTAAAGCGGGGCACTATTTCTTTCCAAGTACCGGCGGCTTTCCCGGGGGCAGCGGGAGCGCGGTGACCTTTGGATCGCGCTGTCCGCCCGCGCGGGCCGCGGCAGCGCTCGGGCCGCGGCCCGCCCGCACCTGCGCCCGGGCGGGGCAGCGCGGCGGGGCGCGGCGGGGCGCGGCGGGGCGGCCCCGCGGGGTGGCGGCGCGGCCGGGGCTCGGCGTCCTCCCTCCCTCCCGCGGGGGCGGCGCGGCGGACGGGGCGGGCCGGGCCGGGCTCCGCCGCCTTCCGCCGCCGCGGTGATTGGCCCGGCCCGCCCCTCGCCCCGGCGCCCAGGCCACCTCCCTCCCTGGCTAAAGCGGGCAGTAGGTGAGGGGAAGGCGGCCAGACGGGAGCATGGTCGCGGCTCCGCAGCAGCCTCCGCCGCCGCGCCGCGCCTTCCTGCCCGGCCTCCAGCGCGGCTCCCGGCGCCCGCAGCCGCGCGGGGCTCTGCGTTAGCGGCGGAGGCTGCGATGCACGAGCCGCCGCTGCCGCCTCCCGCCGCCGCGCATCCTCCCGCCGCCTGAGGACGCGGCCGCCTGCGCCCCCGCGGAGGGAGGTAAGCGGCGCGGCGGTGCCCTGCGCCCGCCGAGCCCCCGCCGCCCGCCGCGCCGGGCATCGCGGGGCTGGGGCTGCCCTGCGCCTGCGCTCGCTGCCCGCATTAAAAACTTCCTGCGTGCCTCCCGCTGCCTGGGGGGTGCCGTGCGGGGGCCGGCGGGCGCTCGGAATGTTGCTGTGGTGGTTTGGGGTTTTTTCCGGGGTTTTTTCATTTTGGCGTGGGGGTCTCCGCCCCCGCCGCGCACCCACAACTTCAGGCGCTCGCTCGGGGAGCGGCGGTGGCCGCGCAATTCCGCCCCCCGCCCCGGTCCCGGGGGCGGCGGTGTCCCCGCAGACCCCCATCCCTGCGGGGGCGGCTGTCCCGGCGGATCCCCCATCCCATCCGCGGGCCCGCTCCGCGGCCGCCGCGGAAGTGCCTGGCACGGCTCGGCGCGCACCCCGCAGGCAGCCTGCTTCCCTCCCCGCCTGCTTCCCGAACGCCTCGGCCGGCCCCGTCCTCTCCCTCTCCCTGGCATGCATTCCCGTTCCTCTTTCTCCCTTTCTTGCTTCTCCACATCCTCACGCGTGATGCATACGAGGAACTTTTCAGCACAATATTGCTGAAATACATATATATATATATATTTGTGTATGTATAAAAATTAAAATATTTCGTACGATTCCCATGCCGATGACATGTCCTCGCCGGTGTGAGGTTTTTTTGGCTGCTGCTGTGCTTTTCCATTGATCCTTCCCTTTTTTTTTTTTTTTTCCTTTCTTTCTTTCTTTTTTTTTTTTTTTTTTTTTTCCCTGAGGGTTTTTTTCCTGTAACTTGTCTCCGGACCCGAATGCTGCCTGGTGCCGTTCAGAGCACAGAGGTGCATCCCTTGGGTGCCGGTTTTCCGAGGGTCTGGCTTAGGCTGGGAGGGAAAAGCTACTTTCTCTTTTGACATTGCGTGGACGTGGTGAGCTGTCCTTGTCGCCTGAGGATGCAGGTCTGTGATCCCTGGGATTTTGGGTTCAGGTCTCTGTGCCTCCCCGGAGGATGGAGGAAGGGACATCTGGAGATGGATGGTGGTCTTTATCGTACACTTCATAAACAGTGTGTGCTCATCCTCTCCAAGATTATTTTATTTTTCCTCCTCTGGTCTTATTTATTAAACTGAAAATATCCCTTGAACGCTGGAGACAGCTTTATCTCCCCACCACAACCAAAAATGATGGAGCCCTGGTCATGTAGTTGGCTGCTTATCTTTTGTTACTGTATATGAAAACTGCATAGAAAAAAAATACAGCATTCTGGTAACTAGATTAAGGGGGATTTAATCACTTTTCCATCAATGAAGGAAAAAGCCATGCATGTTTGCTGCAGGCTTATTACTTGTTTAAATGGAAGATTATACAGAGCATATTTCCGATAAATGAAGAAACTTTCTTTTTCCTGGTAGTCTTGAAAACAGCTGAGCAAGTGTGTGTGTATAGGCACTTGTGAGTCTCTTGCACCAATTTAAACACGTTTATCAGGTTCTTCTTTTGAGGTACTTTCACAAACCCAAACTACTGTAGCTTTAAGGTGACTGCAGATAACAGTTATTGTTTCTTACAATTAGAAATCTGCTAGAACTTTAAATCCTCCTTGAAAGATAGGATCTGTGAGAAAAGGAGCAGTGTTCCATAAGCTTTATTCTTTTTTTATTATTTTTGCCTCCAAACCAAAGCAACAGTGTGTCTATTATTGTTGTATTCTGTCTTAAACTACTAATAGCTTTATTTTTTTTCCCATGTGCAGAAAAATCAAGTACAGCAATATTTTACTCTGACATTTATCTGCATCAAACTTCAGTTATGCTTGGGAGGCTGTTTAATCTTCCCTGAGTAATGTTCAGGATTGTGGCTTTTTGTTTGTTTATTCTTATAACCTGTTCTTATTGTGCGTATTTCTAGAAGTTATCTTCAGTTTAGGATGAAATGTTGGAGCTATGCAAACAATTTAGTGACTGAACCAGAATGAGACTCAGTCTGCATATATAAACTGTGCTTTTCATTGCCTTGTTTTGCATAGCTGTTTTTTCCCCATAACATCCATGTTGATATTTCCTAATAATGCCTATGGTATTTTAATTGAAAATTAACATTTGGTGTTGAAATAACTAACTCTTTGAAAAAATGAGGGTATCACACTGATTTATTTAAAAGTGGAAAAACATCCTGTCATACCAAGTACTTGTCTTGCAAATAATGACCTGTAACACTTAATTTGGGTGAATTTCTCTTCATGTTCATTTTGCATTCAATGAAGGGTCTTAAATGAACTCTGAAATATAAACTGGGCTCTTGGTCTCAAACTGCCTGACTTTCCTGCATTTGTTGTCTCCAGTAGCTTATGAAATGCGTGCACAGTGTGTCAACCTTTCCCTTAACAACAAAACCTATGAGCAAACGTTCAGTGTGAATTATATTACGGAAATAAAATATTCTATAGTTGTCATGGTTACAAATAGAGGCAGGGTTACTGGTTTTCATCTGCATGCTGGGGAGGGGGGGGGGATCTAGTTTTGTCACTTTTTAATTACGTTTCTATTGAGTGATGGTCATACTTCAGATACCCAATATATTAAAGACATGGCACGGTGAATTAGATTTTGTCAAAGTCTTGCTGAAATGAAACAAAAAGTAGTGGTGTGCAGGAACAAACCCTTGTTCATTTGAGGTTTTTTGAAGCAGAAATCTTGAGGGAAGAAAGTAACCAGCTCTGTTTTTTCTTGGTTTCTAGATTAGCATGCTGCCGGCATTGCTGCTCTTCTTCAAACAATAATAAAAAGTATATAGTGTGTATGTTGACTAGAAATCTTCTCAATGAAAGGAGAGGAAGGCACGGATCTAGGAATTAGATGTGATTTTTGGGTTTACTGAGCGCTGTGTCTGGTGCTCTCACTTTTAGTGCCTGTTTGCGAGCGGAATTCATTATGCCCAGGTTTCTGTGATAGTCTCTCCAGCGATGCTGCTCTGCTCCCACGCGTCCTCCTCTGCCAGGTAGGGGATCTGTGGTGTCCCTGGCAGCTGCTGGGCTTTGGGCACCAGAATCGGGACCCTGACTGTTTGCAGCTGTTGGCGCTTATCCCATTGCTGTGTCTCTCCTTCTCCATGCTCATCTGCAATTCAGTCTTGTCCATGCCTCCTTGTTTTCCTGACCTTTTAATTTAGTTCCGATACCTGATGAACCCATCTTCTGAAGCAGAGAAAAAAAATAAATAAAAGACCAAAATAATTATTTTTTTCTTCCCTTCTTGTCTTTGTGTGCTGTGGTGGAAACTCACACATAGCATTAGGGTGAGAGAATACCCCATTATCTGTAAATGGAGAGCGAAATTCCAGGCTGTCCCACCTTGTTTAACCCTTGTAACTTGCGTCATACGCTTGTTGTGCAATTTATTTTTAATCTTAAGACTCATTTGGGGTTTTCTGTTGCACTGTGAAGTTTTGGTCTCTCTTTAATATTTTTGTTGAGGTTTTCTATCATTCCTTCTTTATGCTGAGCATGGTCTTACTTGAGTTCTTGTAATGACTTGTCCACTACGCTCCATCCCAGACAGCTGAGGGCCTGATCCCAAAGCTGTTCTCTTTGCAGAGCCTCAACTTTATAGTGCAGCACTGAAGTCTACATCATCTTCAGATCACTAATTCTTTGTGCTGCAGTCGAGACTTCTTAGCTAAAAATCTCAGTATGGGTTAGTGACTTACTTGGTCCTTCTGCTTTTCTGTTTTTCCTTCCAGATCTCTCATTTTGCAGTTTGCTGATTCAATAACCTTAAATACGACATTAAGTTCAATCATTAGGTTCTGTGATTTGTGTATCTAATCACTTCCTTAATGTACTCACCTCTCTGCAGAAGAATGACGGTGTGAAACCTATATCCTGAAGCCCATAAACATAGAAATTAGACAAGGTTGAATATACCTGCAGGTAACTGAATTACTGCATTGACCCTTCGTCGTATTTTTTAAATAATTCCTCTTGTTTTATATTGGCTTATTCAGTGTGGAGAATGATTTCAACATCCCTCTGTGCAGTTAACTCTTCCATAAAGTTACTTGGTAGGAAGGTGGAGCTCCTACGTTGGGGGCTTAAGATGCTCTTCCCAAGAAGTAAACTGCCAACAGCAAATCCGAGTGTGAGGCTGTATCAAACATGAACAGGTTTGACATGCTTCTGTCACTTCTGTGTTTCCTTTGTTACCAGAGGTACAAAGAACTCCTCCTCAGCTATAAAGACATTAAAAGGAAATAGTTTAGAAATCTCTTATGGGAACGCCTTTCTGTCAGGTTTTTGGACATCAGCAGTGGGTCCCAGCGTGTGAATATGCATCGTGTATCTGGTGTGGTGAAACCAGACCTGGTGCAAGCGGTGCCCAGAAGCCTTCAGGTGCTGTTGTTATGCAGCCAGTTACCTCTGTGCTGTCTTGACCATCTGATAAATGACAGTAACTGAATTCCTAGTCACACTCTTCCATAAATAATTTTATGCTGTGGATTAGAATATGTGGAACATGGGACCATTTTGTCTAATCTGTATGTACTTTCTTTTTTTTTTTTTTTTTTTTTTTTTTTTTTTTTTTTTTTTTTTTTTTTTTTTTTTTTTTTTTTTTTTTCTTTTTTTTTGTGATGCTTAGGTTCAGGTTTTCAGATCTTCACAACTTGGATTTTGGCCATAATTGGTATTAACATCAGGAAAACACAGGTTTTTTTGGTGGTCTTAAGTTTCAGGTAAAGTATACTGCTGGATTGCAATAATAATACTAATTCTGTGAAAATGTCTGCTGAAATATAGACAAAGACTTATTTTAAAATGAACTCAATGTTCCTTTTGTAGCGTTCTGTGATTTGTGTTTTTGTTTAATTCCCTGCCATCCATTACAATATGCCATGTGATGTGTGATGTTAAATGCTGGGTTTTCTGGTTTTGTTTGGTTTTTCTTGGGTCAATTTCCAGTTTTAGAGCTCTACATAAGTACAGGTAGTACA